TTTCTTTGCACCCATGAACCTATTTTGACCACTAGGGCAAATGGCAGACATAGTTGAGGAAAAGGTTTTCAGACATTCTCCGTGTATCTGTTTCAACTGGCCTATGGTTGAATAAACACTCTTCTAATTTTAAAAGAGAAAAGGAACTGTCTGACTCTTTGTCTTTCCATTTCCTCCAGGTTTCCTTTTTATCAAGATATAGAAGATTTTCTATTCAGATATATTAATAAGTCTGATGTTTATTTCAAATATATTGAATGTCTATTAGCGTTCACTCTGCATTGTGACAAATATTTTATGAGCCCTTTTTCTAAATGGGACATTCAGCTTCTTAGTATTCTTCCAGTACTCCGTTTATCTTCATAAATCCATATTTTAAAAGGGATCTTGCTGAATTCAGATCTCCAAGAGGGGATGCATTTTACATCTATATAAATAAAAATGTAAAAGTTCGTTTGTTCAAAATCTTAAATCTCCGAAAGTTCTTCACCGATTGCTTTGAAATTTTGACACAACATTGCATTCGAATACACACGTGTTTATATATACCTATATTATATAGATGTCACACCTGTGACAGGTAAAACATGTTTTTTTTGAAAAACAGCACCATCTGTTGGACGTAAAAGCAACACACGCTTTTATCAGACTGAGCCACAGCAACACATGGCTGGGTACAGCTAGTTCCTAAATAAAAAGATGGGGAGAGGAGATATGATTAGCCTCTGCTGTGACCAGCAACTTCATACCATTTATTAGGGTTAAGGTCATAGCCCAATATAATAACAGTGATACATGAGCTAAGGCTTGTTGTACAGATGGAGTAGACCTCTTTTGCCATTATCATGATGGCTAGACAAAGATCCTATAACTGTGGGGTGAAACTAGTCAATCTAGGACCTTAATGGCTAATCACATGGTTCTTCAGCACAAGGAGGGATTCAAAATGGCAATCACATGGCAGCAGCCATGTAGGGGCCTGTCTTTGGACAATTTAGTAGATATTTTTTCATTTAATATAGCTGCCTAGAAAGTCTAAGGGGGTTAATCATCAGAATCACTGTACTAGACACTGTATATCTGATCTGTGGTTTGAGTTGTTTACAAGCTGATTCAGTATTAAAGGGAAAGGATAACTCAGGATGGTTAGGAATAATTGCTGTAATGTATATCGATTCTAGGCTGTTTAGCCAAAATCTTCAAGGAATGGGAAATGAAGAAAATAAGATCTTAGCTATTGTGCCATCCCAATCTTGCAACCTGCAGACACTCCAGTAGTGAACTATGAGGTTCACTTTGTGGTATGTGTCTGGGAGACTGCTTGCATAAACCAGTTCAATCATCAGTCACCTTTGCATAATGTGGAAAGCTGCATACTGCAGCTCAGACAAATAAAGATTCCCGCTTTCCTCTCATACTCTGCTCATATATCAGACGTGTTCTTGACAATCTGCCCATTACAAATTTCAATTTCCAAATTGTGCACTGATGAAGTAAAGGAGAAGAATTCTAAGCAGATTAATGTTTAGAAGAATAAAGGCATACATGCCCATCAAAAAATCTGTACTTTGCACTGTTTGCTTGAAAAAAACTGCTCATTCCCTGCCTAAGGACTGGAGCTGCCATGTGGGTTTCTTCATCAGCTTAATTAATTAAAAATAGATTGATTCCTTTTTAGTATGGCTGATCCTTTGAGTGATCTCAGCCAGCTGTGTTACTTGAGTAAGAAGCAACACACAAGTGACAAAACTCAGTTTTTCACTCAGAATAGTTTCTGCAGATCGATGCAGTTCAGAACTGAAATGGAATAAAATTACAACCTTTAGATTTCTGAGAGCTTTAAAGTTTTTTTTTAAGTTCAAATTTGATATTTATATCAAATTCGAGATAAATTTCAGAACAGGCTTTGACATAAAAGTAAAGCCTTCATCCAGTTCAGTTTTCACTTTTGGTGTTTTCATTGATATCTCTATATACTAACCAGATGTCCAAGCTAGTTTACCTTTGTTCAAGATTGAACCAAAGTTATTAGTTACTGTAAGCCATGGGTGTCAAACTCGCAACGTCTCACATGATGTGTCGTGACGTATCGTGACTTTTTTGCCATTGCTGGCAATGGGGTGGTTGTGGTTTTGCTATGATGCATCCGGACCATGGGCCGGCAGTTTAACACCCCTGCTGTAAGCTATTTTTTAAATAGCTCTCAAGGCATTGTACTTTTTGGCTGAAAAAATAAAACTTCTCTGATTTGATTTACATGTCAGGTGACTGAGAATGTCAAATTCTGACTGCTGCTACTTGTTAGGAAGACAAAATTTATTTGATCCAAATTCAGTTCCCATGATCACATCCAGGTAACATTCTTGGCAACAGTAAAGAGGTAGCTTGTCCTTGCCTTTTGAGAGGCTTAAAAAAATGTCTACATCCAAGACCAGTGCATAGCCCTGATATTTACTAATAGCTTCTAATTCAAATACTAAGTACTGTAGGACCAATCTTAGTGCTATCAAATATTGACTGGATTCATGTGTCATACGAAGGTATGATTGAACTATGGTTTATTTAATATAGCTGAATTGGGTGTTTTGTACAATCAATCAGAATAGAGTTGGAAGAGACTTTGGAGGTCTTCTGGTCCAACTCCCTGCTCAAGCAGGAGACCATATACCATTTCAGATAGGTGGCTGTCCAGTCTTTTCTTAAAAACCTCCAGTGATGAAGCACCTACAAGGCAAGCTGCTCCATCGATTAATTGTCCTAAAACAGCTGGAGGTGGGTGGGTTAGCCTATGTCAGGGGTCTTCAAACTCGGCCCTTTTATGACTCATGGACTTCAACTCCCAGAATTCCTCAGCCAGGCACGCTGGCTGAGGAATTCTGGGAGTTGAAGTCCATGAGTCATAAAAGGGCCGAGTTTGAAGACCCCTGGGCTATGTAAACTAACTGAGGACAATGGGGGAGGGGGAGACAATTTCATCCCTAAATATACTGCTCACAAAAATAAAGGGAACGCAAACCCCTTCAGTTCCATGATAAAATGTTCCCTTTATTTTTTTGAGCAGTATACAAGATATAAATATTTTCCAGATAGTTTCATGTCCACAAACAGAAAGACAGAGACACACACAAACACATACACTCACACACATAAACATGTTCTCCATGGAATTCAGTGGAATGTACTCAATGGAACATATTTATTTGAAGCCTTACCATGAAGTCCACTGCATAATTACTCAGGAATAAGTGCTAAATGAAAACTATTCCCAAATAAGAGATCCAATGTGATAAATGGTTAAGATGATGGGCTGAGAGCAGGGAGGCCTAGTTAGGCATAGAAGCCAGGGGGGGGGGGCTTTGCACCAGTCAGTTTCTTAATTTTGGACTGGGGAATAGAAAAAATAAATCCCCAAAAATAATACCAAACAACGTCTGTAGAGTTGCCAAGGAAATAACATGGAGCTGTCCATAAAGATGCCAAGTGTTGGGATTGACTTGAAGCCCCCACTCCCAAAACTCCCAGTCAACACAGAGATGATTGCAGTGTTTATTTTGTGATTGTTGAATTGCTTCACATGCTGCAAGAGAGTGATGGCATCAGGCCACACAATTTCTGCTGTGGAGTGGGTTTTTAAAAATGATATCATAAATGCCTTGATGTGTGGCAACCTTATGTAGGGTTGCCAGAATTCTATTGAAAATATTTTTTTTTATTGATCTCTGTTCTGGGTATGGATTGATTTGGTAGATTATTTGGTGGACTCCAGAATTACTGTGGGCAGCTTACAATTTTAAATTTAAAAAAAAAACAATAAAAAGGAACTAGAGTGACTGGTTAATAATATCCCACCAACAAAACACCAATAGGCCTCCCAAAACACACCATCCAATCCTGGGAGAACGATCATGTTATTAAAAATCTCCAGAACCTCACTTGTGTGGGAGCCATAACAATTTCTGGTATGATATCGTTCAGACACTGTGAAAGAGAAGGCGTGCTTTCCTGTTGGTGGCATTGATTGATAGAAGGGGCCTGAAGCAAAACTCTGTCTGATCTTACTGGATAGGCGGAAAGTGTATGAAATAGACCAGGGGTGTCAAAATGCCGGCCCATGGGCTGGAAGCATCATGGCGAAACCGCGCCCACCCCATTGCCAGCAATGGAAAAAAAGTCGCAATACGTCGTGACACGTCACGTGACATTGCGAGTTTGACACCCCTGAAATAGACAGTCCTCAGATACTCTCTACCAAGGAGGGTTTTACAGGTAATAATGAGCACAAAAATGAATTGGCTTACCAGAAGCCCTTCAGTAATTTATGCAACTTGTGGAACAATGGAGTTGTATGAGCATGTCCAACAATACCTGCACCACTGAATTTTGGACCAATTTTTTCTTCCAAATAGTCTTCGAGGGTATACAGAGTATATTACAGAAATCCAATGTGTGGTGATTATGGCATGAGTGACTGTCTCAAGGACCTCCCAGTCCAAGAATGGATGCAACTAGTATACCAGATGAAGATGGACCTACTGGCCACATGCTCCGCAAGCAGGAGCTGAAAGTCCAAAACTACCCCCAGACCATCTTCCTCACAAGCTAGAGCAACTGATGTGAAACAAAATTTCCCACCAGTTTTTTTTTTCTTGTTGTTCCTTGGATACATTTCTCTGGCTCATTTCCATCATTTAGTGCATAACTTGAGGACAGTATTTATTATTCCCAAATGACAAGCAAGCATGTCTTAGCTGGTTGCACTTCCCTTTAGCTTTTATGTGGGGTGTGTATGGCAGGACAGACTGATGTCACCATTCAAAAAAGCCTTAGGGCATGCCCAGCAACATTAATCAGAAAGATGATCAACTGCAATCACAACCAATCCCACTTCCTTGACAATATAAATAAAAGAAGAAACCTTAAAACTTAGAGCTGACAACTACACCTGCCTCTGCATCTTTCTCTCTGTACCTCTTTCTGCCTCTTTGTTCTCCAGCTCTTCACCAACTAAAATGTCTCACCGAGCCAACATCAAAATTCAGAGGAGAGGCTTCAGTAACTCATCTGCCATTCTACCTAACTTGTGTCGCACCAACTGGAGCTCACAAAGTGTGGGCAGAAGTGGAAACTGTGGCATTGGACGTGCTAGCTGGGGCCGGGCCGGTGGGACTGGTTTTGGCAGCCAAAGCCTTTACAATCTTGGTGGACCCAGGAGGATTGCAGTTGGAGGCAGTTATGGCAGTGGCATCGGTGGAGGCTATGGGTACGGTGGTGGAGTTTGTAATGGCTATGCTGTTGGTGGTGGTATCGGTGGAGGCTATGGGCTAGGTGGAGCTGGTTTTGGTGGAGGAAGAGGGGACTCTTGCTTCCCAGTTTGCCCACCAGGTGGAATCCAAAAGGTAACTGTCAATCCTAACCTGTTGGTGCCTCTCAAACTGGAGATTGACCCCACCATAGAGAAAGTCCGCAAAGAAGAAGGAGAACAGATCAAGATACTCAACAACAAGTTTGCCTCTTTCATAGATAAGGTGAGAATAAATAAATGCTTTATTTTGTTATTTCAGGATGCAATGAATTGGGGAAAGAGCTCAAGAGCTTTCCTACAACTTCTTTTGCAATTTTCACTGATTTCATCACAGTTGTTATTTATCACTGGCTGGCACCAGCTAGATATAGGTTACAGAGCTGCCAATTTTTGCCCGGTCTTGTTGCAAGTAGCAGTAGCAACCTGACTGGAATAATGCTATGGGGATTTTTTTTTTCTCCTGTTGCAGAAAGAGAGATTGGAAAGGTTTCTAAAGTTAAGATTATATTTTCTCTGAAATGAATCTCAGTAGGTCAGTAGAGTTTCTCACTATACAATAGTTGTAGAAAAATGAGATTAAGCAAACAGACTTTATTTATTTATTTATTTATTTATTTATTTATTTATTTATGTATTTATTTATTTATTTATTTATTTATTTATTTATTTATTTATTTATTTATTTATTTATTTGACTTATGTGGCCACCTACATTATATGTTAACTCTAAGAGGCTCACAATAATCCATAAAAAACATAGTGAAAAGAAAAAAGTACTCTTCCCCCAGGTGCCAGACAATCATCCTCACAGCTCTACTCCCATCACAGCCCAACGCTTGGGGAAAGAGCCAGGTCTTCACAACCCCCCCCCCCCCCAGAAAGTCAAAATGGTAGGGATCTCTCAAATCCCAGGTGGGAAGTGTTCCAAAAGACTGGAGTGGTCATTGAGAAGGCATGCCTCTGTTATGCATACGTTGTATTCTTAAAGATGGTGGAATTTGGAGCCATCGAATCTTTTGTTTCCTGGCTGGTAACCATGAATCATTGATTGGACAACCATTTGTCTGAAATGGTATAGGGTTTCCGGCCTGAGCAGGGGGTTGGACTAGAAGACCCCCAAGGTCCCTTCCAATTCTGTTATTCTGTTAATCAAACTGCTTTGATGCACATGACTATGACCCTTTAGCCAGAAATATAAAATACGCAGATATGATATAGCTCTTGCTCAAAAAACCTTTAGCAGAGTTGGAGAAAGAATTGAATCATGATGAGTAATGTGGGATATAGAAGAGGCAGGTATCACACTCGAAGTGTATACAAGATAATGCCTGAGTAGGCTTAGAGTTCATTCACTCATTCCTGCATTCACTCATTCATCTACAATTGCAATTTGCCTCATTTCAAAGTGTCTATTAGAAGTATTTATGCAATAGTGGGATACTTTTTGAGATGAGACTTGCAGCATTGGTGACGTACAAAATTGCATGAGTAGCTACACTCCCGTACACAGACTAGTCTAGAGGAATATGTTCTTATTTGTATACTGCCTTTATTATTTTTTACAAATAATTCAAGGCTGTGAGCATATCCTACACATGTTTCTCCTCCTATTTTCCCAACAAAAAGAATCCTGTGAGCTGAGTTGGGCTGGGAGACAGTGACTGGCCCAAGGTGAACTAGCTAACTCATAGCTAGAGGGCATTAGGTACAGGAGGGTTAATTGTCAGAGAGCATGGGTGAAAAGGGAAGGCAAGGAGGGAGGGAGGAAGGCACGGAGGGAGGGAGGGAGAGAAGGAAGGAAGGAAGATATTAAAGCAAGAAAAAAGTAGCCTTTTTTGTACAATCTGCTCAAGAATAAGTCAAAACAATTTTAAAAATATGCCAGGGATTACAAAAGGATTTGCCTTTTAATCCCCCAACTCCCAAATCCGTGTCTTTCTTCTTCCAGGTGCGTTTTCTTGAGCAACAGAATAAAGTGCTGGAAACAAAATGGACTCTGCTACAGAAACATGACCAGAAAACTGTGATGAGTAACGTTGAGCCACTTTTTGAGGCTTACATCAACAATCTTAGGACACAGGTGAATGATCTGGAGAAGGAGAAAGTAAAGCTGGATGGAGAGCTACATACCACCCAAAACCTTGTTGAGGATTATAAGAGCAAGTAAGACTTTCATCTTACTCCCTCTTTTATGCATGCTTGTGCCAGCAAATCAGGTTTTTTGTTTTATGCCAGGTGACAGCCTGGACTGGTCCCTGTGGTTTTCTTGGCAAGATTTTCCAGAAGTGGTTTGCCATTACTTCCTTCCTAGAGCTGAGAGTAACTGGTCCAAAATCACTGAGTTGGTTATGTATCTAAGATGGGACTTAAAGCCACAATCTCTTAGTTTTGAACTTAGTGCCTTAACCACTATCCCAAACTGGCTCTTAATATTTTGAGCCCTCTTTTATACCCTTGGCTTATATTGCAACGAAGGACCTCACACAGTTCATTGCACCTAAAAAATCTCACAACAGGCTCTGTTAAAGAGAAATGTGCAGAGGTGCTTTACCAGGTACATAGCTGGATTTCAACTTCCTCGGATCTCAGCATAGTTAATATTCCTGGGTTGCACAAATTCGGATGACCATTACACTGACACAGAGAATCACAGAACTGCTAACTCTTTGCAGATGATTGTTCAGCCTTTTCCAGGCAAAGTATGGCAGGCCTAAGCCACCAAGAATGTTGGTACAGAATGTTGGTAGTAAAAGAAACTGTGTAGAAACGCTCAAAACTTTGTCCATCTTTCTATCTGTCTGTCCTCCTTCAGATCTTGTAGATCCAGTTCCAGAACCAAGCAAATTTTCTCAGACAGTTTTGTTATAATTGACCAGTCACTTCTGAAAATCACCTCTGGGATGATAGTAGTAGTAGTAGTAGTAGTAGTAGTAGTAGTAGTAGTAGTAGTAGTAGTAGTAGTAGTAATAATAATAATAATAATAATAATAATAATAATAATAATAATAATAATAATAATAATAATAATGAAGGGACCTTGGAGGTCATCGAGTCCAACCCCCTGCTCAGGCAGGAACCCTACACCATTTCAGACAAATGGCTGTCCAGTCTCTTCTTAAAAACTTCCAGTGTTGGAGCATTCACCGTTTCTGGAGGCAGGTTGTTCCATTAGTTAATTGTTCTAACTGTCAGGAAGTTTCTCCTTAGTTCTAAGTTGCTTCTCTCCTTGATCAGTTTCCACCCTTTGCTTCTCGTCCTGCCTTCAGGCGCCTTGGAGAATAGCTTGACTCCCTCTTCTTTGTGGCAGCCCCTGAGATATTGGAACACTGCTATCATGTCCCCCCTCGTCCTTCTCTTCATTAAACTAGACATACCCAATTCCAGCAACCGTTCCTTATATGTTTTAGCCTCCAGTCCCTAAACTTTCAAGCAGTGCAGCATCTTTACCAGATTTCTCTAAGAAAGTGTTATTTTTTTTTTTCTCCTCCGCTGGCCCAAATAGGTATGAAGATGAGATCAATAAGCGTACGGATGCAGAGAATGACTTTGTAATCCTCAAGAAGGTGAGAGTCTGCATGCAGTGTGAACACTTTGTAAAAAGGCAGCCCTTGCTATAATGTTAAAAGGTGGGACTATCCCAGAAACAAGTATAATCTCAATTAGGATATACATACATATTGTATACTGTACATACATACACACATATACATACATACATACACCAAATAAGGATAATCAGGAAGTAATAATAGACTAATAAACAGTCCTTTAACTTCTCACCATGTGTTTCCTTTTTAGGAAGTGGATGCTGCCTACATGAACAAAGCAGACCTAGAAACTAGGTTACAATCTTTAGTTGATGAGACTGATTTTCTCAGACTCCTACATGAAACCGTAAGACTCAATATTATTTTCTTTGAATTGTGCTCATTATGTTATGCAAATATATTTTATGTCCTGCCAAAGAGATAGCTACAATATTCATTTACTTTCTCGAACTAGTTTGAGAAGTCCCCTCCTGCTCATTCCTAGATAAGATGATGCTATAAACAGGATTGCTAAACAGAATTTTGTAGCATAATTTGTTATAAAATGGGAAGGAAGGAAGGAAGGAAGGAAGGAAGGAAGGAAGGAAGGAAGGAAGGAAGGAAGGAAGGTCAAGCACAAAGTAAAGGATATCAGCGGAAAGGCAAACATTGAAAATGGAGATAATTATTAAGACTAGCAACAGTGGTAACAAGCTTTATACTTTTAAATTGCCATATTAAAATCAAAAGATGTTGACATTTCTCAAGGAATTTAAAGAACTTTAAGAATTTCAAAATAGGATCAGAGTTAATTAAGAATTTTCTAAGAAATCCTGCGGTTTCAGAATCTAATGATAAATGCTCTCATGAGGAACAGTCATTTCATATTCTTTTACTCCAATATTTACTGATCCTTTATGGATTCAATGAAAATAACTGAAATTAAAGAAATTATGCAAAATGAACACCCCCTTCCAATTTCCTTACTTACCTACTAATAGAAAGGATCGCTAGCTCTAAATTTTGAATTAGGTACTTGCCAAGGCCTGATCATTTTATGTATGTTTTCTGAGTGGACTATTCCTATAACATGTGCAGGAACTGGCAGACCTACAGAGGCAGATCTCGGACACTTCTGTGGTTTTGTCCATGGACAACAATCGCTACCTGGACCTCGACAGCATCATTGCTGAAGTCAAAGCCCAGTATGAAGACATTGCAAAGAAGAGCCGGGCTGAGGCTGAAGCTTGGTACCAAAGCAAGGTAAATCAAGGGAGTCGGGTGGGTCAGTTATTACACAGAGTTAGCTGTAAGAGGTGGTCAAATGTTTTCTTCCAGAATTGGAATTTAGCAAAGCCAGGTGTTGGAGGGACATTGCCTCTTCTCCTTTCTCATTGTCCCCCCCCCCCCCAGTCGTTTACTGTAAATCTATTAGTAATCAGGGAAACTGCATGCCACTCTGGCCTCTTCTAAAATAGAAGGGAGGAAATTCTAATTCCTCCTTATTTCCTTTTCAATTTGCTGTACTTGCACTTTTAGAAAGGCACTTTCTCCAAAGGAGATTGTGGTAAACGTGTGTATGCAACCTTTCTACTTCTCAGCTAGAATTCTCAGTTTGGGAAATGTTCTTACCCAACTTTAATATCATCTTAGGATTTGTTGCCCTTTGATGTCATTATTCTATAACAGTGGTGGCGAACCTACGGCACGGGTGCCAGAGGCGGCACTCAGAGCCCTCTCTGTGGGCACGCGCACCGTCGCCCCAGTCCTAGGCCTTCAACTGGGTTTTATAAAACCTTTTCACTTTAGGCCTCTGCCGCCATGTGTAAAAAAAAAAAAAAGATTCAATCAATCAGTCAATTTCAACTTCTCGCGGGAAAAAAAAGATCTTGTAAAGTTGGAATTGATTGAACTTTTTAGTTCAGCCACGCCCACCCAATGGGCCACACCCACCCAATGGGCCACACCCACCTGGCACCCAATGATGCATAAGTGGGTTTTGGGTTGCAGTTTGGGCACTCGGTCTCTAAAAGGTTCGCCATCACTGTTCTATAATTTAAGAATTTTTGACCCTAGTTTAGTTTTTAAATTTAATGTTAATTAATCTTGTATTTACTGGTTATATTATATTGTACACTACCCAGAGCCCCTCTTTGAGGGAAATGGGTCATTTAGACTTATGAAATATAAACAAATAAAACATGTAAAATTTGCAATGTAAAATATCTTGAGGCACCAGATTGCGGGAGACCAATAGACAAACAGATGCATACACTCTCACAAATGAATCAAACTGGCTCATTCAATTAAATAATTAAACTACAGTAGCTGCTTTCCACTTTTTTTTTTTAGTTTGAGGAACTCCAGGGTACTGCTGGAAGACACAGTGATGATGTTCGTAACGCCAAGCATGAGATTTCAGAACTAAACCGACATGTCCAGAGAATAAAGGCTGAAATTGAAAGTGTGAAAAAGCAGGTAGGTTACTGCATTGTTCCAGAGTTATGATCATACAGTGATAATGGCTCAGCCACATTTCTGGCCTGAAAGAACATTGTAATATATCATATATTATGTTCCCAACAGATTATTCCCAGGTTGAAATGCTTTATTTTTTATCATAATACAATGCTGCCTTTTTTGGCATATATTTAACTTCAAAATTAGCAATAGCAATAGCAATTAGCACAGAGGACATGCTCACAGAAAAATTACCTCTTTACATTACCTGCCTGCAAAACAAAGAATAACACAGCATCTATAATGCTCATCCTCATAACTTTCGCAAAACCAATTATTCTTTTACAAACAGCATACAAATGCAAGCAGCCATCTTCTCCCTGGTCTTCTTCTTTCCTTTCAACTTTCCATTTAGACCACACTCAATCCTGTCTAAGGAAAAGCAACAGCAACATGGCTGATCCTCTTACTGCACTAACTAGAAAATGTTGGGGGAAAGGAAATCCTATCACTAGTTACAATGCAACAGACCAATTGCTGCCTACAGGATACAGAAAATGTCCCATTTCATTGCAAGCTGAAGTACTTCCCTCCTGAAGTTGTGGGTGCTCCATCATTGGTGGTTTTCAAGGAAAATTTGGGCAACTATTTGTCCGGAATAGTATAAGGAATCTTGCATTGAGCAGGTTGTTGGACTAGAATTCCAATGTCTTTTCCAGCCCTATGATTCTTTAATTTGAAATGCCTCTTTCAAAGCTGGAATATTTTGCACATAGCCATATTATTTCCTTAATACTATCCATGCTTATAATACAAGTTGTCCTCGACTTACAACAGTTCATTTAGTGACCGTTCAAAGTTGCAACAGCACTGAGAAAAGTGACTAATGACCATTTTTCACACCTACAACTGTTGCAGCATCCCCATGGTCACATGATCTTGGCAACTAGTCCATATTTATGACAGTTGCAGTGTCCCAGGGTCATGTGATCAGCTTTTGCGAACTTCTGACAAGCCAAGACAATTGGGAAGCCAGATTCACTCAACAACTGTGTTACTACCTTAACAAATGCAATGATTCACTTAACAACTGTGGTAAGGGGGGACGATCAAGAGCATCCTGTCATACAGCATCACAGTCTGGTTTAGAAGCATCACTGCTTCAGACAGGAAGGCAGTGCAGAGAGAGGTGAGGATGTCCAAAAAGATCATTAGCAGTTCCCTCCCTTCCATCCAGGGCATAGCACAGAAGTATTGCTTGAGCAGGGTCCGTAAGATTATCTGGGACACTACACATCCTCTTCACAACCTGTTTTCCTTGTTACCTTCTGGGAGGAGGCTTCGTGGTATCCAAAGCAGAACATCCAGATTCAGCCATAGTTTCATTCCATACAGCATTAACCTTGTGAACTTTCAAGCTTCCTCCTTCCATTATATATTCAAGATGGACAGTATTTAATATTTATTTGCTATGTATATGTAGGGGTGTGGGTCTATACATAAGTTGTATATAATATATTTAGGTGTGTGTCATGTATGTGTTCACTTTGAGAGTGGGCAACTAAATTTCATTTTTGATGTGTGCCATTGTGCCCACAGTAAAAAATGACGATAAAGGTTATCTTATCTTAAGAAAAGTCATAATATGGGGCAAGGTAGCCCTTGACATTTTGGGTATGGCCTCAGACAACCTACTAAAGGCCAAGGATGGTCCTTGGTCCAATAAAAGTTATATATCTCTGCTTATGAGATATTATAACTGAAGATATTTTGCTCTGTTCTGAAGGGAAGACCCACTATGCTAATTTCTCTTTCCTTCCTCCCCTAAGTGTGCTAATCTACAGGCAAAGATTGCTGAAGCAGAAGACCGAGGTGAACAGGCACTCAAAGATGCAAGGCAGAAACTGGCTGAACTTGAGGATGGTCTTCAGAAAGCCAAGCAAAATATGGCCAAACTACTCAAGGATTATCAGGAACTACTGAATGTGAAGATGGCCCTAGACGTTGAGATTGCCACCTACAGAAAGCTTCTGGAAGGAGAAGAATGTCGGTCAGTGATAGTCCATCTAAGTAGAATCTTTACAGATCTGTGCAAGTCTTTGTACTCCAAGTCTGCCTTTTTGCTATTATTACTTCAATAATGAAATACTATTGTGTGGCCTCCAGAAGCCTTGGGTTCAGTCCACAAACTCCCCCCAAAATTCCATCTCCATTAGCATGTAGTTCTGTGGGCATAGTGAGTCTTTTTCCCTTGCTGTTCATCCTTCAGGGTCCTTAAGGATTTGATGACTTTGCAACAATAGTCATACAACATTGGTTTTCTTTCAGACAACTATATATGCTCAGAATACATTTGAATTCTTACCAATGCTTGATTCCTGTTTTGTTTCCTGCAGATTGGCAAATGATGCTGCCGATGCCGTGAACATCTGTAAGTATAATGAAGAATATTCACATTATAGGACCTTTGCTATACAGAGATGATTAAGAGGGTCCTTACCTCTATTTAGATGGAGAGAATCGCATGTTGTGTTGTCCTTTAACCCTCCTGCCTTACCTCTTCCCTTACAATTTTAGGTTTTGCAATCATAACTGCGGCAATTATGCTAGCAGTAGCACAGCAAAGTTCTTGGTGTGTTATGTCAATATGGGTATGGGGTGAAAATTTGCATCTGTTTCTATCTACTTTTTTAAACACCTGTAGAATGCCATGGGGCAGAATTCAACCAATTTTTCAGGCCTCAGACAGCAAGACTCAAATCTGTAGGAACTCTGATCCATCACCAAATCTCACAACACATTAGTAATTCCATCCTGTGATCTCCTATGGCTTTGGAATTCTTGCATTGGATCTCAAGCAAGATCATCATACTCTTTCATCTGACCTTTGGCAGAATTAAAATAAATAAAGAGGTTTTAAAATCATTTCATTTGGGGGGAATGTTTGAAGGTCCCATTTTAGGAAAGATGGACTTGACAGAGTCCATAGTGATTACCCTTCTCATAATTTCAACAAAGTAGCTGCCTTTCTGAGAACAGAAAATGCCCGGGGTCTTCTCTAAGTCTATCTATTTTTTTTGCAGCTGTTATCTCTTCAGGTATTTCACGAGGATCTGCTGCCGGCAGTGGTCTTGGCTATGGAAGTGGCTTCAGCATGGGTGGAGGTAGTTGCTTTGCAGCAGGAGGTGGCAACTGCAACATTGGAAGTGTAGATCTTGGAGATGGCAGCTGTTCTAGCATGAAGTTTGTTTCCTATCCTCCGACAGGTTACATAAACTAAAGGTCCAAATCCTTGTACTTTTAAAAATGAAACACGTGAACCATGTCTTCCCTGGACCTCTCCATGCAGTATTCATACATCTGTCCTTTGCTCCGTGTTCAAATTTTGTAAGACAGTCCATTTCTTTGCTTGTACATAGACAGCATTCTGCTTTTTAAATGATTCAAACCGTATTGAGGCTCATGTTCCGATTTTTCCTTCTTTCATCCATGTCAGATTTCTACATTTTTCAAGGTTTGTGTAAACTAGATAATCTTCTGCACTGTTTTTTATCCTTGAAATCTGTACTTTGAAATATGGCTTTACTTTTCAATATGTATATTCAATAAAAACATGATTATGAGGCAATTCATTAAAAAATCAGTCTTGGCATTATTGTAATGTTGTCAAGAAACAGGCCAGAATCATGATACTGCAAATGGGCGATTTTGGACACCTATGATCTTCAAGGGAATATGTTTTGGGAAGATTTGAACAAAGGTCAAACCAATTCTTGGCCATTAATTTTTTATTATTATTATTTTGCTTCAAGTCAATGTTGACACCTGGCACCTGCCTGGAGAAGTCTCTGCCCTTTTCTTGCTAAGATTTCAGAAGTGATTTGCCAGTGCCTGCTTCCTACGGCTGAAAAAGAGTGACTGGCACATGATCACCAAATTGGATTTATTTCTAAGGCATGACTAGAACTCACAGACTGGTGTCTTAACACTACACCAAATTGGCTTTTAGAAGACTAGCGTTGCTGGTTTTTCATTAGTAAAATGTACTGCAATTGTTTATCTAGAATCACCTGGAACAAAATAGTTTGCACTATATATTACATGTACCGCTATGCAGTGCTTTTTTTGTCATAGAACACACCGGAACAGAGTTCCGGCACCTTTTTTCGACAGATTTTTCCACGTTTTAAAGGTAACTTTTGAAAATTTTGATGTTTGGTCCACATGAACTTGAATCACCCTGTCAAGCGTAGATCAGTGGCAAAATCATTAAAACGGTGCATGAGGGTTGCTTGTGTGTCGAGTCCAATGCATGCATACTTTGTCCGCGCTGGTTGTGATGATGCTGCTCAGCTTGTGGCACTGCTCAGCTTGTGATTGGTTGTGTGGTCACACACTGAGTGTTTACTGTGGGCAGCGACCATTATGATTCATTACACAACTGACATGTGTGGGTGGGTGTACAGTGATCAACTACGTGCGAAAGGTAAATCATTTCTTTATTTTAAAAAATCGTTGGTGAATTGAAAATCTTTTTTAAGTTTTTAGTATAAAAATGTGACCCCAAATTTAAAAAAAAAAATACTAATTACTTTTCAACCACCGGTCCTGCTAAGAACTGAATATATAATTTTTTAAATAAAAGATTAACAAGATGTGAGTTCCGGCACCTTTTTTCTTACAAAAAGAAGCACTGCTGCTATGACTTAATGTAACCACATAAAAACCTGAAGGAAACAGGTTTCTTGAAACACCTCCACACAATAAATCTCTTACAGCGGTGAGAAGCTTTTGCTACTTCTTGCAAATCTATCAGAAGACATCTATCATCTATCATTCTGGAGCATGGAATCCTTCAGATAAGTGAAAGTAATCTGCTCTGGAAGAATGCATCAGTGTGTTGGTGATGTGCCAAGTTGTTTTCTACACTGGGTGACCTTTTTCGACCCTTCCAGATTCTCCATGGAGGAAGCCTATAAGTAAGGTTTCAAACAATATATGGATGAGATGCTATATGGATTCAGCTTTCTTTTCTCACAGTGGTTAATCAACTTCCTCTGGGATGCCTGCAGAGCATAAATATTTCACCGCAAAAAATGTATTGCCTCTGGAACTAATTTTCCACTACTAATAATCACCAATACCGTTGTACTAAATAACAACAACAACAACAACAACAACAACAACAACAATAATAATAATAATAATAATAATAATAATAATAATAATAATAATAAATAATTTGGAAGGGACCTTGGAGGTCTTCGTCCAACCCCTGCTCAGGCAGGAAACTCTATACCAGGGGTGTCAAACTCGCAATGTCACGTGACATGTTGCAACGTATCGCAACTTTTTTGCCATTGCCAGCAATGGAGTGGTTGTGGTTTGACTCCCCTGCCCTATACCATTTCAGACAAATGGTTGTCCAGTCTCTTTTTAAAAACTTCCAGTGTTGGAGCATTCACAACTTTTGAAGGCAGGTTGTTTTCACTGATTAACTGTTCTAACTGTCAGGAAATGTCTCCTTAGTTCTAGGTTGCTTCTCTCTTTGATTGGTTTCCATTTGTTACTTCTTGTCCTGCCTTCAGGTGTTTTGCAGAATAGTTGACCCGCCCTCTTCTTTGTGGCAGCCCCTGAGATATTGGAACACTGCTATCATGTCACTCCTCGTCCTTCTCTTCATTAGACTAAACATGCCCAATTCCAGCAACCGTTCTTTATATGTTTTAGCCTACAGTCCCCTAACCATCTTCGTTGCTCTTCTCTGTACTCTTTCTAGAGTCTCAACATCTTTTTTACATCGTGGTAACCAAAACTGAATGCAGGAATTCCAAATGTGGTCTTACCAAGGCATTACAAAATGGTATTAACACTTCACGTGATCTTGATTCTATCCCTCTGTTAATGCAGCCCAGAACTGTGTTGGCTTTTTTGGCAGCTGCAGTACACTGCTGGCTCATATTTAAGTGATTGTCCACTAAGTCTCCAAGATCCTTCTCACAGATACTACTATCTGGAAAGCATTTCTGAAAAACCTTGCTAAGAAAACTGCAGGGATTCTTTCAGGCAGTCACCAGGAGTGAAAAACAGACTCAAAGGCACTATTTATATATATCTAGATCACCTCTTTCTCAAAATAGGATGTTTCTGTTTTTTGGGTTGTTTTTTTACTGGACATATAGGCCACTCCAATCTCAAACAGATCCAAGTAAAAAAAAGTACAAAATTATCTTATGAAGATAATTAATGGAGGAGCAATTCAATTAATGATTTCTGAGATCTCAATTATATGCCCACCTCAGCTATATATCAGTTTCTTTCGAATGTTGCCTAAGAAGAAGAAGAAATCGCTGAATGAGAGTTCCTGGGCCTTAAAAGCAGGCCAAGATTGGCTAATGTCTAAGAACAGTGCTTCCCAATGTAGGAGTGCATTAAATCATCATAATAAGCCCTAATTCTGGCTTCAACAAGACTCACTGACATCTTATCCCCAAAATGTGGATACTTTTAGCTTGCTGAATAGTCTTATCAGTCTACAATAAACACCACCACCACCCCAAAAAATGAGAGGAATACTCTCCTTTCAGCTGTGATTAGAACTACTCTGCAGATAATACAATAAGCTTTAAACAAACTCCACACCGCTGTTCATTCTAACCATCTTGTTCACGGAGTGGAAACAGTGACTATAAGTAGACAAGCCAACCATGCAACTGATTGAAAAATGAAATACTGTGTTTCCCCTAAAATAAGACCCACAGAGAAAATAAGTCCTAGCCTGATTTTTGGGCATGTGCCTAATATAAGCCCTACCCCAAAAATAAGCCCTAGTTAAGAGCCCACCCACTCCATCCCACTGTCTGATTGCTCACTGCCACAATGGGGCAGGAGAGCGTGCATCGCACCAGTGCCACTGCCACGAGTTAAGGTGAGGCAGGTGGGAGGGTGGAGCTGCCCCACGCACCCCACACCTGCTTACTTCAGGGCCCCCACAGCCAGGCTGATACCAGAGATTCAATTCCCATCTTTACTTCCAGCCTCACAATCTCTACTCAGGAACTAGATTACTGGGCACTCTGGGCTCAGGATCATGCTACTGAATACCACTGGTAATAAAACCAGCCACACCAGAGAATTGCCGTGTATTACAATGGAGGACCACATTGACAACTTGGAAAAGGTATCCAGAGACATTACTAAAATTGTAGAAAAGCATGGTCTAAGTGCAAGAAACAAAGAAAACATTAGAAAGAAACTCAGCCTGGCTTTGCCCTAACTCTCTGGGATGTAAGGAGAGGAGGGAAAATATATGCAGGCTTTCAAAGTTTCTGTTACTATAGCCAATGTCAATATATCGTTCCAGTCAAACCTGTAGAGTCATTTTTCCTGGTCTGGCGTACTTCAAAGGGATCACAATACTAAGACTTACCTGAATGAAGAGATGGCCCATGGAAGGGGGGGGGGGGAGGAAGTGTTCCTATTCATGGAGGTCAAATTCATTTTTTTGCAGGGAAGAGGATATGTTGTGGCAAATGTATACTGTGATATGCTTCTGGGGGAATTTTCCATCCATATCATGGACAGATCACTTCCTTGTGACAATGATGTTAACTGAAATCATCAATCTCCGCAGGGAGGCAGGACCTATTAAGGTGGTCCACCCCACACATCTAATGATCCAGCAAATTTCTTGCTGGCACTTGGAGAATTTCCAAGCAATTTGGAAGATGTTTCTGTTGCCACCTTGCTGACCTCTAGAATATGGAAGCAATTAGGGTACTCAACCGGGTTACTCCTGAGCAGCCTCTCCCCCACCCTATGTCTCAGGCAGTTCTTTGTTTTATTCTGGAGCTCGATGAAATGGTGCAGTGATGCTGGCACAAAACAAAAAGCTAGTGCACCCAGACAAGAGTAAGCATCCAGATTCAAGAGAATTGTCGGCAATAAAGGTGGTGAAATATAACTACTGCTGTACTTCTCTGTCCTTATGACAGCTGCAGAACGCCAAATGGCTGCACTTCTTAAAGTGTCCTGGAACCTTTTGGGGAAGCCTGAAAATCCAGTCAGCATAAGTTGAGGTTGCCTGGTAGACTATTTCATGGATAAAATCACATTTTCTCCAAATGTACAAAGTCTATTGAGATGATAAAGGTGCTGTTCAGTGGTGCTACTTGGAAGCTTTTGAACCTGTGAGTCTGAAGACGTGCCCAGAATCACTGTGTTAGTTTAATTCCTTCACTTGTGGCTTGGCCTCCTGCCCCACCTAGCTAATTAAAGCAGACAGTAGTAGTGAGAATGTAATAGAGGTTTAGTTGCAAAGCACTCACAGGGATCCAGGTTATCTGGACCTTTGGCAGTCTGATCTGGGTACAGGATGGAAAGTATATTGGTTGCGCTTATGGGTGGTCAATGGCAGATTACTGAGCTGTTCATAAAATTGCTAAGAATCGAGACTGACCCGCTCCCTTTAAATTTCAATAAACATGATTGCAGTGTTTATTTTTTGATTATTGAATTGCTTCACATGCTGCAAGAGTGATGGCACCAGGCCTCTGCCAACACAATTTCTGCTGAGGAGTTGCTTTTTAAAATTATTTCATAAATGCCTGGATGTGTGGCAACCTTATGCAGGGTTGCCAGGATTCTACCGACATTATTATTTTTAACTTATCTCTGGGACTGGGACTTTGAGATTCAGTTGATTAAAAAGACAGGCTGGAAGCAATTTAAATGGGTAAAACAGAACATCCATTTCTGACTAGATTCACAAATGGTATTGTTCAAGTTTTGCTTGAGGATATTTTATTCAATAAGCCACAACTAATGGGTTCAAGGATATTCTCTTCAATTCAGATTCAGAAATGTATAAGTATTTTCTAATATTGGATATGTGATATATATTGATTAGTCTGGCTTGCTTTTGTTTTTTATCTTTTGTTTTTTTCTTCATATTTTTGTTTTGCGTGTGTGTGTTTTTTAACTTGTTACAATAAATTTAAAAGCAACAACTGATAGGTTTACCATGATAATAAATCCTTACCCATGGTATGCAACTCACAAGCCATTTATGTACTAAGCCATAAATCATGGTTTGCAAATATTCACAATACTCAATTATACAGAGCATGCTAGGTTCAAAGCAAACAAGTCACATAATGGTTGAATCTAGGCTGCATCTATAGAGAACAGACTATAGAACAATTTTGCTGTTCTAGATGGTTCAAGAACCCGGATCTCTCCCCCAACCCTCAACTTGTGGTGCAAGTGAAAGATACAGGATATGGTCATTGCTTCCCACCAATTCTCCCTTAAGGACAAGCCTTTCAATGGCCTACTTGCCTAGCATTACAAACCTTGGATAAGTCTGCAGTTCAAGTTCTGCAAAACATCTCCAACTTGGGGAAGATAATATTCCAGAGCCAGTTTTCCTCCTAATGGTTTGAAACTTTATTCTGCTTTGCATTTAGACATCAAAGGTGGAGTGCCTCCATCCCTGTGGTGATTTTTTTTTCCGAAAAAAAGTGACAAATGAAAAAAACCATCATCCTCACAAGGCACGAGGAACTGATTTGGAGCACAGCCTCTCATCAGTTCTTGTTCTCTAGCTTGATCACAAATTAAACTCAATTCCCTGGCCCATCTTCATCATCTGGGGCAGGGGTAGGCAACCTTGGCTCTTTTATGACTCGTGGACTTCAACTCCCAGAATTCCTGAGCCAGCCATGCTGGCTCAGGAATTCTGGGAGTTGAAGTCCACGAGTCATAAAAGAGCCAAGGTTGCCTACCCCTGATCTAGGGCAAAGCTTGAGGAAATTATTATTCCGAATTGACAACTAACAATGGCTTAGATCACTGGTGGGATCTAAGGGATCACAGTAGGTTTCTGAAACAACCACCCAAATTTAACTGCCAGGCAAATAACCAATGGATTGTTAGACATTTCACTCTCCGTGCTAATCACAGCAGCATAAATACTGAAAATTACTACAATTTACGATATTGTATTGTAAATAAATTTACAATAAGTAAAAGCAGCTATGAGGGGGAGCCAGAGAGAAATGAGGCTCAGAAGAGGGCCACGAGCAAGAAAATATTGAGAACCATGGACTTAGCTGGTTGCATCACCATTTAGCCTTAGTGTGGAGTGTGTATGACAAAACAGTGATGTCACAATTCAGAAAGCCTTAGGGCATGCCCAGCAACATTAATCAGAAAGTTGATCAACTGCAATCACAACCAATCCCACTTCCTTGACAATATAAATAAAAGAAGAAACCTTAAAATCTAGAGCTCACACCTACACTTGCCTCTACTTCAGAGACTGTGTCCTCTCTTCCTCTCTATACCTCTTTCTGCATCTTTGTTCTCCAGCTCTTCACCAACTAAAATGTCTCACCGAGCCAACATCAGAATTCAGAGGAGAGGCTTCAGTAACTCATCTGCCATTCTACCTAACTTGTGTCACACCAACTGGAGCTCACAAAGTGTGGGCAGAGGTGGAAACTGTGGTATTGGCAGTGCTGGCTGGGGCAGGGCCGGTGGGGCTGGTTTTGGCAGCCAAAGCCTTTACAATCTTGGTGGACCCAGGAGGATTGCAGTTGGAGGCAGTTATGGCAGTGGCATCGGTGGAGGCTATGGGTATGGTAGTGGAATTTGTAATGGGTATGCTGTTGGTGGTGGTATTGGTGAAGGCTATGGGCTAGGTGGAGCTGGTTTTGGTGGGAGAAGAAGGGACCCTTGCTTCCCAGTTTGCCCACCAGGTGGAATCCAAAAAGTAACTATCAATCCCCACTTGTTGGCACCTCTCAAACTGGAGATTGACCCTACCATAGAGAAGATCCGCAAAGAAGAAGGAGAGCAGATCAAGATACTCAACAACAAGTTTGCCTCCTTCATTGATAAGGTGAGAATAAATAAATGCTTTGTTATTTCAGGATGCAATGAATTGGGGAAAGAGCTCAAGAGCCTTTCCTACAACTCCTTTTGCAATTTTTGCTCGTGTCATTACAGCTGTTATTTATTACTAGCTGGCACCACCTAAATGAAATTACAGAGCTGCCAATTTTTGCCTGGTCTTGCTGCATTTGCAACAGCAACTTGACTGGAGTAATGCTATAAGGAAAAGTTAACATATTTTCTCTAAAATGATTCTCAGTAGGTCAATAGTTTCACACTATATAATAGTGACAGAAAAAATGAGAGCTAATCAGAATGGCTTCATCATTATCCTTTATGCATAAATTGTATTTTTAAGAAATAAGTGGTATATGAAGCTCATGAAACCATTTTGGCAGGCATGATTATAAGCCTTTATCCTAGAGAAATTTAGCTTATAATATATACAGAGAACTGAGTGTTGATGAGTAATATGGGATGTGGAATAGGTAGGTATCCCATTCAAAGTACATACAAAATAAGGCTTGAGAATTATACATCATAAGTTAGTATTGACTCTTAGCAACACTATATACACTACATACTACAAAAATACATAGATTTTTCTCCAGGTTTAGAATAGAATAGAGTTGGAAGGGCCCTTGGAGGTCTCCTAGTCCAGCCCCTTGCTCAAGCAGGAGGACGTATAACATCTCAGACAAGTGACTGTCTAGCCTGTTCTTAAAAATCTCCAATGATGGAGTGCCCACGATTTCTGGAGGCAAGCTGGATCCTCAGATCTTCCAATAGGTGAACTCATTACCTCTGTAAATGTGCTGCTAGTCTTTTCTTCCACATTTCTCAAGATTAGAAACTGCTCCAGGGAGTTAGACCTTTGCATAATGTGTCCAAAATAGGATAAATTCAGCCTGGTTATTTGCCTCTTGAGTGAAAACTTTTGGTTGATTTGTTCGATGATCGATTGGGTTTTTTTCTTTGCTGTCCATGATATTCTCAATTTTCTCCAACACAAAATTTCAAAAAATGGCAATACTCTTTTTCTATCTTATTTCTTCAGAATCCAGTTTCTGTTATTATAGTATCACATGGAATGTATTAGCTTGACTTTTCTTACAAGATCTTTTAATCCATTGCATTTTCAATTATGAGAACAGTACCGTAAGCATACCATGTTACTGATGGTTCTTTCTCCAGTTTTAAAATAATGCACATCTTTTTCCAATCCACTTTCCCTTAATATATTATGTATATATCCAGGATATTAAAAGGAGAAAAAGTAACATTTACAATCCACTCAAGAACAAATCAAGATAAATCCTCTAAAATGTTTCTCAAGTTATCATTTAATCCCCCTTCCCTACAAAAAAAATCCGTGTCTTTCTTCCTCCAGGTGCGTTTTCTTGAGCAACAGAATAAAGTGCTGGAAACAAAATGGGCTCTGCTACAGGAACATGACCAGAAAACTGTGACGAGTAACATTGAGCCACTTTTTGAGGCTTACATCAACAATCTTAGGACACAGGTGAATGATCTGGAGAAGGAGAAAGTAAGGCTGGATGGAGAGCTACATACCACCCAAAACCTTGTTGAGGATTACAGGAGCAAGTAAGACTTTCATCTTACTCCCTCTTTTATGCATGTTTGTGCCAGCAAATCAGGTGGTTTTTTTTATGTCTGGACTGGTCCCTGTGGTTTCTTGGCAAGATTTTCCAGAAGTAGTTTGCCATTACTTGCTTCCTAGAGTTGAGAGTAACTGGTCCAGAATCATTGAATTGGTTTTGTACCTAAGATGGGACTTAAAGCCACAATCTCTCAGTTACTAGTCTGATGCTTTAACTACTAACCCCAGCTGGCTCTGAATGTTTTCAGCTTTGCTCCCTCTTTTATACCCTTTGCTTATACTGCAGCTAAGGATCTCACACAGCTCATTGCACCTAAAGATCTCACAACAGGCTCTGTTAAAAACAAAAGTGCCAAGGTGATTTACTGGCTATGTGTAAGGGGGGTAAAAGAACCATATGTTGGCTCTTGGCCATCAGGTGCTCTGCATGTACATGGATTTCAACTCCCTAAGATCTCAGCATAGTTAATATTCCTGGGTTGCACAAATTCAGATGACCATTACATTGACACAGAGAACCGAAGAACTGCTATTTGCAGATGATTGTCCAGGCCAACTATGGCAGGCCTAAGCCATACGGCTTTGTTATGATTGACCAGCCACATCTGAGAATCGGGGATAGTATCAGGATCCTTTTAAAAAC